GGAACGTGGCTTCTTCCGGGCCGGACCGGCGAACGCCGGTCCAAAACAACACCGCTTCTGTAGCAGAAGAAAGGCTTCTTTGGTGCGGAACGACAAGAAGTGTCCAGCACATATAGAAACGGCTTCTCAGGGGATGAATTCGCCCACCAAGTGGCCCACACATTGCCGTTCACCATCGCGGCTCGCCCGGACGGTGGTTTTGGTGTTCCCCACCCTGGACCGCATTGGACTGCCAGAGCGGACACCTCCACCCTGGCCTTTCGTCCAAGCATTGAGACCGAGGCAGTGGCTTCTACCGAGTGTACGAACCTCAGACATTTGTTGCAGCGGCGGCTGGGGCGGTTTGCGACCCTCAAAATGCTTGGACCGGTTTCAGACGATGGTGTTTCTAATTAAATTCTATATATTGTTTCTACTAGCTTCTTGCTCCTAGTAGTAAGGCCAGGAGCCCCTAGTAGCGTCCTTGCTCCTAGTAGCGATGCCCTTTGCTCCATAGCTGTTTTGAATCGGGTATTGTTGTGCCTAGAATCCTAGAAGTCGCGAATGGCTGTGTAGAAGCACTCCATCCGTTCCCTGGCACTGTTCTTCTGGAGCATCCCATCGCTTCAGCTGGATGGATGTGCTTCGTCAGCTCGCCATTGAAGCATTCACTCGCCGCCCGAATGTCGTAGAAGAGGAAGTCGCTTTTGATCGCTTTTGCCTCAGCTTCAATAAACACAGACATTCACAGGCATAGGAAGACGAGGGGCATCCCTTCCAGCAATCTAAGTACCAGCTAATTGTGTTGTATATATTATGTTGTTGGAGGAGGGGGGCCCTACAACATGCCAGGGTTTAAGGGCTTTGGGGTAGTGCAGGAGATATTCTTTCGCTGCCAGGTCGAGGCTAATTGGACATCAGACCGTTCATTTCAGTACAGTTCTAAGCCTGCTGTGCCAAAGGAACAGCGTCGGCTTCAGGTCAATCCAATATCTTTGACTTGTTTCTATCGCTGCTTGGGAGTTGGGAGTTGACTCGTGTAGCTTCTGAATCCTTCTGAAACCGAAGTGATTTTGGCACCAAAGTGCGAGGTGCCATGCGGCTGACACGGGAGCTCTGAAGTCGATCATGATTGGATGCATGGCTTTCACGGTTTACAATGCAGGCGCGGGACAGTGAGCCGCAGTAGCACATGATGGTTGGCCAATCACATTTGGATAATAAATGGTGAACACTGATGGGATATAGAATAGTCATCAACCATGATGAAAGGACTTGACAACCCCTAGGGAAAGAACAGGCACTGAGAAGGATTTGGATTTTACACCACTTTGGATGACAGAGCTTGCAGTTCACAGCCTGAAGATGTCCGAAGTCACGTGATTAAAGAAGGTTGAACTGCTACAGTTGATCAATTGAGTTGAGATATCCAGACTGCCAGCTGCTGTTCTATGCTTTAGAGCTTTGACGTGTGAACTATCACAAAGTCATACCAAGTCTATATGTTATTCTGAATGGAGTGGTTCGTCCACCTTTGCGAACGCTGATGCTACCTTTTCGTCCATGGGTTAAAGTGTCATCCGAAGGCAGCAGTACTGTACGGTTTTCCAGTCCGTGAAAGATCGGAACTCAGGCGTCCACAACCCCTGGTGCAGTAGTGTATTGCAATGCTTGTTTTTTTGACAATTCAATGTGGGAAGAACGTTCGACAAACCTGTTGAACTCTCCAGGCGAAGCTGTCTTTGAAGCAGGCATGGCAAAAAAATGCGGGGCGAAATGCTGACGAGGTCCACGCTCGAGACAAACCATATAAATCTATATATTATAGATAACACAATGACATGTCCCAAACATGGAGCAAGATTGTGGGGCTGGATTAGCACGGGCCGCGAATCCATTGCAATGCTGTCTGCTGTCGGTGTGGCCGTGCAAATGATCGAGTCTGAGAGCGTACAACCCGAAAGCCCATAGTCTGGGTTGAGTCGAGGATGTACAGATCACCCTCCAACGGCCTGTGAGACCCCTGCCAGGCTGCTGTGCCCAATCCAAGAATCTCATTGGGCGAACGGACATGCAAAAACCTAGAGATCCCCGTTCGGGCCGACACTCAACCGAATGCAGGGGAGGAGGCATCTGCGGCCTTCATTGTCGAGCGAGGCGCCTTCATGTCGCATTGAGTCTTCAGGAGTGTTGAGTCAAATAGCCGGTCAATTGTGTGTCGCCTCCACAGCGGCTTTGGGGGTGCCAATCCAAGCACAAGCAGTTCATGCCCGGATGCTGGTAGAGTTGTGGCAAGCCAGAGCCAACCATGCTAATGTTTTCTTCACGTTTCGGTGTTGATTTGACGGAGAGAGTTCAGGAACCATGTGGAGAGAGGTGGAGTTTTTGGCGCAAAGGAAAGACATGAAGACATGGCATCCTCACACACACATGTTGGAGACCCTCTTAAAGGATCTTAAAGGTCTTTGGTTGATGGATGTTGCATGGTGTTGCCAAACTTCGAGAAGCAACCACTAGTTGGAGAAGTGTACCTTCATCCCTGCCTTTGTGGGTCCTATGCATTCCAATCAAGAGCTTGCGACAACCTAGAGATGTTGTCAAGGTTTGACGTTAGGGTATGCAAGAAAACATTGGCTTTATGCATGCATGTTATTGCTTGTTGCCAGAGATAATGGGTTGATGCTTGTTCAACTGACACCGTGGTCCACCAATGCTGGCTGTCCAGGCGCCTTGGAATACTCTCAGAACAAGAAGACCTCAAAGGTCAAGAAGAAGCATCGAGCAAGAGCCTGAGACAGTTTTTTGGAATGTCATGGAACGTCTTAGATTTGGCGTTTTCAGAAAGCGATGCCTCAACATTGTCCTAAGAGTGTGTGTGTGTGCCCTTATGACTATTGAACTGTAATACTGGCCAGTCTTTTCCCAAGGTTACCACGCACAACGAGGTCATCATTGCAGAACCCGCGATATGGACACCCAGAGCGCACAACAATCCCCTATCTACTTGTGTGGACCTACAATCCTCCATGATAGCATGCCGGCACCTGACCCCTCCACGGGTTCTATGGATCAATTTTTGAGACCTAGATTGATGCAGCTTCCTGCATCTCACCCACCGGACTCGTATCGAGAGAAAAGAGAGATGCTCGGGCCGCCGTGAGCAGCGCGCTGCCCAGCCCTCTCGTGGGAGTGTGGGCAGCACGTGACTAAGGACACATTGGCAGCACGTGGGCACCCTGGTGAGTCCGAATACCACTTCCCTTCTGAAAATCAATGTCTCTCGGCCACCGTCCTGGTCCGGATGTTCCATCTGGGGCATCGGAGGTTCCACAAGTCCGAATGTTTAAAAATACCTATTATGACGGAATGTTTTGCTCATGTGCACGCACCATCATTGATGCAGGGATGCACAATATCCACAGGTGTCAAGACAGAAGAGTTAGGTGGAGGGACTCGTTTTTTCTTTTAGCCGCTGCCGCGGCCTGGCCTCGGCCAGAACCCCACAAACCCGCGTGGATGGTCTTGGTGTCCTAGTGGTCCTCCCAGTTGACTTAGTAGCAGCAGTAGCAGTAGCACTAGCAGCAGCAGCAGTAGCAGTAGGAGCAGTAGCAGTAGCAGTAGCAGTAGTAGCAGTAGGAGTAGTAGTAGTAGTCGTCGTAGTAGTAGTAGTAAGAGTAGGAGTGGGAGTGGGAGTGAGAGTGGGAGTAGAAGTAGCAGCGGCAGCAGCGGCAGCAGCGGTAGCAGTAATCGTAGTTGTAGCCGTAGTTGTAGCCGTCTTTCTGACAGTGTGGCAGCGGGAGGAGAAGTAGGAGAAGTAGGACGAGGTCATCCTCAGATTGTCACGAGTTCCCCCTTCGTGGCCCGTTGGTGCTTGGCCATGCATTTTCGACCTCCCTCGCCATGCAGGTCGAGAAGCATGAAAAGATCATTCGGCAGCAGGCGCCTTGGCACACAAGGACTCTCCAAGCTGCCTCCTGAGAGGGTATCCGGTATAAGTTATATAAGACATTATAGTCAGGGTTTTCACATGTTTTCACATCTTGGGACATTTCCGGTAGGCCGTGGTCGGAAGTGGGACTGGGTACAAATTGGGCTAGATCCAAACAAGAACAGACCATTGCTATATGTAAATATCCTTACTGTAGTTGTTTCCCGAGATAGCACTTGAGACCGACAGGCCAACCATATGGTTTTGCTTCTGATGGATATATAGTTAGCAAGTGCGGGCTTGGAGGTTTGCCAGCCAAGACAGTGCAGCCCTTCTCTGCATCTAGCTATGCGTTGTGGCAGATGGCCAGGGCGTAGGGTTCAGATTTCTCAGTTCAGTGGGATCCCCACAAGGCCATGAGCGAACTGTTCAAAGGATTCCACAGTGGCGGAATTCTGACTGAGGAGATCATGAGTGACTTTGCTGGAGAATTTGCCATGCAGTACAGGCATGACGACACCGGCAGTTTGTCGAAACGGGTCCGTTGCATCTCCCTGAAGCTGCAAACCGTCTCACTTGATTCAAGCGAAAGATCAAGCTAGGTAGGAGATCGGGCCAACGACTTCTGAGGTATAAGTGGAGCGAAGTTTCCTTGGGAAGCACGTGCCTGAATGTTTGAAGGCAAGATGATGGTCTTGGTGAACAAGGTTTTCGAATCTAGCCTGACAAGGTTCCCCTCAAGAGCATCTTGGGGCCCCAAACTGCTCAAACCGGGTTCGTAGAGCACATTTAATAGTCTCATTCAGTTTCTTTCGGAGTAATTCACGTTCATACTCCATAGAGAGCTGAGCCACCTGAGGGGTTTGTCCTTGGCCCCGTCTTTGTGGAATTGGGATCGAAGCTGTGGACGGCCTCGCATGAAAAGCGTGCTTGGCTGAACTCAGATTTGCATCTCTCATAGACAGGCCGATGCAGATGGAGCCCAAAAAAAGCATGAAGACATAACCGTTCCTTTCACTCTAAGCCTAAGCAATATGTTGGACGCACATCATATGTCAGACTATTTAACATTGTGACCAGACAATGCGGCAAAGGCCTCCCCGACTCCACACTCCACACGGCCTTGTCGCAGCCGGCCCAGCTGCTGCCATGTCCTTCGAACCCATCCAACGGCGGCGGGTTCAGCCGCGTCAGAAGGAGATCACCAATCTGAAGCTCCTCACGCTTGGTGACAGCGGCGCCACAGACGCAAACTAACACCAACCCAGTTCAGTGAAAGACCATTCTGGACCATCTGAATGCCACAAACTCCCAAACAATGATGTCTTTCAAGTCAGCTGCAGGGTATCGGCCTGCTTGGATACTTAAGCTTTGGAAGTTGGTCTTCGGGCCGGTCACCCGAACTCGGCACACTGACCGGCACCGGTGTGCCAGCTGCGCTAGTGTAGATGCACAACGGAAAGATAAGTGACCTCGACAAAAGTTGGAAGTGGAAGACGTCTCGCTTCACAAGATTTTACAAGTGGTGAGTCCTCACATGGAAGTGAACCGTCACCTTGTGGGCTCCTGGCCTTACTACTAGGAGCAGGGACGCGACTAGGGGCTCCTGGCCATACTACTTGCAAGAAGCTACTAGGAGCAAGGGCATCGCTCTACTACTAGGAGGAAGGGGGCTTTCCGAAAGAGTGAGTTCCGGTGCATCCCCACATGTCGGTGCACCGTTCTGCCTGGCGATGTCGGCAGAACTGCAGAGCTTCCGCACGCGCCCCAGGCGTGGGCAAATCGATGCTGGTGAATGCCTTTCTGGCCGAGGGTGAGTTGCCGGAGGGGGATGCTCCCACCGTCGGCGCAGACTTCAAAGTGAGGATGCTGAAGCATGCTGGCAAGGACTGGGAGGAATCAGAATTGTATGATTCGCTTGTCCATGTCTATGGCACATGTTGGGAGATATCGAGAGGCATACGCGTGCCGCATAGCGGTTAGCGTAGGAGCACCATAGGATGCTCGCGCATTTAGTCTTGAGATACATTGAGTATCTCAGTGCAACAATCTACGTGCCAGTTGATTTCCCGTTTCGCCCTTGGAAGGACTACCGGGTGAACGTCTGGGACACCAGCGGCGATCTGAAATTCCTCGATGTGAGGAATGAGTTTTACAAAGAAGCTCAGGGTGTGATCTTGGTCCCTTGGTCTTGAGTCTCCAATGTGAGTCGTTTTTTCCTTCCCACCCACCCTATCTAGTTCTTCCCCCCGGCCTCCCCGGCGGGACGGCTATAGGGCCATGCATAGGATGTCGCAGCAAGAAGCGAAGGACGCAACATCAATGAAGAACTATGAGAACTCTCCAAACTCCCACGTGAATCCTCACTCTCTCTCTCTCTCCCTTTGTTTGAGAAACCTTTTCCTATCTCCCCGCGTGCACCTTCCCAATCCTTCTTTTTGCGCAGTGGACACCCAAGGTCTTCGACATCACCAGCCGTCGGTCCTTCCAAAACTTGGAGAAGTGGATGGATGAAGTGGCGAAGTATGCTCAGGGCAGTGAGCCCAGCTACGCACTGGTGGGCAACAAGATCGACCTCCACACACGTCTCGTACAGGAACAGGCACGACAGTAATATCGCCCCTGTTGCCAAGGGCACACTCAAATTCAAGAGCTTTGAGATCACCATAGATTCATAGATAAACTCCCAAAGCCGAATTGTACACTTTTTTCAGCCATACACAGACCAAGTAGGGAGATTCCCTGTGAACCACCGGGGCACTCGCTGGGACGCCGGCGTGCCCAGGTGGCCAGAGACTGGGCCAAGAGCCACGGCATGCCGTACTTCGAGGTCTCAGGCGGGCCTGAAACATGTTTCAACGAAGCAGATCCTGCACATATACAATCATTTGCATATGTATATATATATATTTATAATATATATATATAATGAATGTTAATGTGTATAATGTCATTGTTTTATATATTGTTGTGTATGTTGTAAAGGATCTGCCGTAAAGTTAAATGCCGTATATGTATGTATGTATGTATGTATGTATTATTTTACATATGTATAAATAGTTGTAAACTGTTACTGTTTTAGATGTACTAATCTCAAACGTTCAAGATAGCTACTCAAGATGGATTCATAAATAAATGGATATGCAAAACACAACACTATATTATGTAATATGCACTGTATACAGGTGCTCAAGCCTGCTCAAAATCAGCTCTGTGACAGCCGTGCTTTTGGTCTGCGCCCACGAGGTGCCCAGGGTCGAAACGTGGAGATGGTCTTTAAAGAGCTTGCCAGCCGCCTGGGCTGAGCGTGTTTGAACAAGCTGTGCTGACCGCAAAAGCAGCCAAAAAAGCAGCGGCGCAGTGGTGGCGCAACAGTACAGCCTGTTCCGCCCAACGAGGGAGAAAGTATGAGTATAGCCTTTTAAAAAATTGGTGCCCTTCGCTCCCCATATTTAAGGGTTGCCGTCTTGACCCAGGGGGTAAACCAAGTGGGTGTGCTTCTGCTCCGAAAGAGCTATGCTTCCGGATTCCTGTGTTAGCCTTCCTAGTGCCCTAGCATAGTATGACATGAGTTACGACATGAATATACAGACAAAAAGCATTTGGGCCAAGCAAATGCAGCCAAGCCTTGCCGAATCCACCCAGAAACTGCCAGGCTACAGTCGCATATAGTGTCACCCCCTGCAAGCTGCTGGAAACAAGAGGTTCATGTGCTAAGCACGGGACGGTCAGGATCCGCCTGGCTGGTGCCAGTCCGCCAAAGGTGGGGTGGATCGTTTGGGAGAGGGGACTGGGATTTGCAGGATGGAGTGGATCTGGGAAATCTCTGGGAGAGAGGCTACGCTTGAAAAGTAAGGAATTGGATGGAGTTGTTTTTTAACAGTCTCTAGGGACACTTGAGGAGTCCGGGAGAGATGATGGTTGGTCGTTCGTTGTGAATTTTCAGGGCCCCAGATCGTGTTAAACCTTCAGAATTCGTTCCTGCATGATGGCGCAGAGATTCACACCATTCAAATCCATCCAACATGACAATCAATGTTAAGTCCTACCTGATAGGCACCAGGATGTGTGACTTAGGGTAACCCTCAACAGAACATGTAGTTGCTTGCTGTTCAACATGTTTATCATGTTTGCTGGATCAGACTATATCAGACTCCTTCAGATTCTTCCTTGTCTTTGTTTCGGCAACGCGCACGGGCCGCACCTTATTCAGGATGCCGTAGGATCCCAACAGTTCCCAATGCCGTAGCGAAATGGGCGGCGGCATCAGGCGAATTGGCCCAGCGACATTGAGGTGCCGTAGCTTGGGCGACGAATGGGCCGCAGGGCGCGGGGAGGAGTTCAGAGTGCCAAACCAAAGGGGCCTGCTCTACCTTGGTCTAGCCAAAAAGGCGAACTTGAAAGGAGCTGGGCTTGGAAAGCGCATGGTGAAACGCGAGAACAGCTGGATTCTGCTGTCGCACGGGACGGCAGCCTCACTAAGGCACACCACTTTCGATGAGGTCATTGTCAACTCCTCACGGGAAACGAGGCCTGATGCCCATCATGCCGCTTTGGTTCCGCAACGATCTCGTCCATCGGAACAGCAGACCCAGTTTTGGGTCCCAACAGGTCGGCACAGAGGGACCTGCACGGCATCAGGCCACATACACCAGGTATTCTGAGACCGCTATGCTGTCAGTACTAGACATGGCCCTGACGGCGTGTATGCCCACGCCTTGGAACCATCAAGCGTTCGGGCACTTCGCGCCTGGAAGTTCGGTGCACGTGTGTCGGCAGAGAGAGAGAGGGAGTGAGATTGCTTGTCTCTTTGGTGCACCATGGTGCACCATGGTGCACCTTGTGACTGGGCGGCTGTCACCCGACATCACCTGCGAATTTTTCGTCACTACGCAACTCATGGGGTTCGGAGGACGGCGGAGAACAGACACGGGCACACCAACCAGAAGCACCAACCTCCACCTGATGGGTGTACCTTTCAGATTTTTCCAGTTCTCTGGGATCGGCGGACGGACGAACTCCTGCACCATCATATTGTTTACTATATAATTGTTATATAGTACATAATATGCATATTTACAAACTTACACTGCCGTGATCTACCATGTAATTTCAAGGTAACGAGGTGGTTTGCCGACCTGTTTCCATGAATGGTTTCTGTCAGAGCCCGATGTCAAGGCGTTTGGTCAGCAACCTCGCGCTCGAAGTGCTCAAGGATCAGGCGGAAGTGGGTGGATCCAAGGCGTAGGGAATCACATGTAGATACCAACCGGTAGACATGGTGAATTGACTTGGGATTTAGAGGCGTTCATGTGTTGCATGGCCACACATGGCCTATGTTTACCTTCTGTTTCAAAGTGTTGGAGTCCAGTTTGGGCGAGAAACATCCACTCTTGACAAATCAGTGAGGACCTGTGATGTTTGGGAGGTGTCTGTGTCTATATGTGTATATAGATAAAGATGAGTAAATAGATAGATGGACGCATACTACTAACAGCATCACAACCAGAGGCACTCCTGAGTCCACAGACAATCTCGAAACAAACTTGGACCACTGCAGAGATGTATGTATTCCTTGCTTTTTCAGACTCCAACCACATATGGTGGCCACGAACAAGGTGCGGGTTGGTGGATGTTCCTAATCGGGCTCCCACGGCTTCGGCCGGCTCGCGAAAAACGCCACATGTTTGGTGTAGTGATTTTGGTATGTTTGGATGCCTCCTGAGCCGGACCTTCCTGTTTGGGTGCCCATCTTCGTGTAGGTTCGCGCACCTTTCATCCATCTTCGTGGTTCAATTGCACTGCGATGAGACCCTCCCTAAACCACACATCTGCGACTCATTGAAAGAATTGGTCATTTTCCTCCCGCCATGTTTCCTTAATGGCTTTGCCTTGGTTCATCTTGGTTCCATCCATCATTGGGCCAGGCTTCGTCAGCATGGGGACGGACGTGCCTTGGCCAGCACCAATCCTAGCCGCATGTCATGTCCAATGAAGTTAGAAAGGACTTTGGCACAGGTCCATTGCCCTAGACCAGAGTCTTGGCTACCTTTATTTCGCATAGGGTAGGACATCGTTTGCCGTGTTTGGAACAAAATCGGCCCGCTGAGATTTGGCAACCCGCCCAAGAACATTGAAGAACTGGAGCGGGAGGTGGCCAAGAACAAGCACCTTGGGCCAACACAGCACACATTGATTACATGTCACATGTGGCCTGCGACAGCACCAGAGCTGCCCTGGCGACAAGGCCAGCAGAACCAAGTGTGAATAGTTTGAGTGCGCAAATTGCCCTCAGGTGCACACTGATTACCACGCACAATGGAGAAGCTTAGCCGAAGTAGTCTCTAGCTGGTCAGGACCTTTTCAATTGATGGGGGGGGCAGGGCTAGTTCCAAGTGGGCTTGATCCGGCTTCACAGAGTCGAACATTGGAAGACAAGGCCGATCTTTGGATTACCAGGCGCAAGCAGATCATGATTGAAGCCCCAAATCACGTTTTCCACCGGAAGATGATCGTGAGGGGTGAAGAACCATGACCAGCAAACAGTTGCATTATATTAAAAGATGCTTGGTACCATCAACCCTTGTTCTGGCCATCAATGCGCAGAGTGATGGGTCAAAGATTCCATCGTTGAAAACGCCATGGCCGCTCAGGATGTGGAGCGCTTGGCCGCGGTGTCCGCCATTGAAATCCGCAGATCCTCGACTGGAGAATGGTCTGTGACCTATTTTAGACTGAAACCTGAAGTGCAGTGACAGCATGTACCTGCTGGTTGCTGACTTGAAGGTGAGTGCTCGTGAATTGCATGATTGCAGGCGTTCCCTTTGAACCACCTTTGAGACGAGTCGGTTTTGGACGGAAAGACGCGCCACGTCACAGTCCACCGTGAGAGGGGTCCCTCTCAGCCATCTCCCTCGAGGACAAAACGGCATGGTGCTGATGCAGCTGGGCAGTTGGGCCACACGGCTGGGGAAGGCGACCGGAAGAACAGGAGGACCACTGAGAGCCCCAAAAACGTCAGCTGATGGTAGCGACCGGGTGTTTTTCGGAATGCTACACACAGATGATGGCATGTGGGGAAGCATTTCAAGCATTTCGGTTTAGAAAATGTGTTTGAACATCATTTCTATCCACTTGATGACCTCGAAACTCTTTCGCCAACAAATCGCCACAGTGGATTCTGAGTGGACTGAGTGGAAGGCGCAAACCCGTATGCAACCACCTCTTGAGGTTTGTGCCATTGGCACTGAAACCAGTGAATGGAAGTGGAACAGAACCATTTTTGCAGAGGAAGAGGAACTTCCAGGTGGCATGTTCTGTTCTAATTCAACTCTTGCTCAGCCATGGGACCAAAGCTGCTGTGTGCCAGGAATAGTGGCCAAAGCATGATATAAGAGGTCCAGACTTCCAAGCTTGGTTGTCATGGGTTCGCTTGTGCATCCTATATACTGTGTCGTTGGATCTTGAACCTCTTGGGGCAGGGAGCTTGGGGCCAATTACGGTGTGCAGACTGGCTTTGTTGAGCATGCAGGCGCCGACCACGTCTGAAAAGACACAGATTGAAGGCTATTGTATGAATGGTCACACCCAACACATGAACAATATTGTCACCCCTCATCCTGAAACTTTTTTTGCTTCTGCCACCACCCATGCGTAAGATTCTGTGTCGGTAGAGTCCTGGTGTTTTGCGAAGCTGGCGCAGTGCTGGGGACATGCAGCATGAAAGTGAACAAGACCTGGAACTGGAAGCAGGGAACCCCAAAAAGGACTTGTGACAATGCCACATGCTCACTACAATGACCTCAGGGCACCTCAGAAACCGCCCGGGAGGCCCCGCAGTTTAGAGAGAGAGAGAGTTCCTTGGGTGTGGTGAGTGTCGCATCCACTCTCAGGATGCCTCAGAAGGGCTGAAGGTTGGCTGCAAACTCCCTGGCACGAAGCAAGAGGTGGGTGAGAATGCGGCATGGCTCAATGGCGGGGCACCTCCCGGGACACCTCGTTTCAAGTACTCCCTTGCAGATTGACATGGAAACCCAAACCTGGCCCAAAACCACTGGGTTGTAGAGGACAATGGTCTCCCACCGGTCAATTCTCAGGTTCTATGTTAATTTGCGGTGTGTGTGTGTGTACACTTGATGTTTACGAGTGTCTTGGAAGGCGGAACCACGATCTGCCCCAACTTACGGCCAAGCTCAGAGCCCAGGCCGCGGATGCTATGCTGCGCTATTTGCGAAAAGACCTTTTACCCTTCATGGATCTGGTAGCACCAGCCTTAGACGGGATAGCAGATGGTACAATGAATGAAACATGCTTTGTGGCTGCAGTTGTGTGTGGATATGCACCGTCAGA